CGCAGGGCTCATAACCTGTTAGCTGCAGTGGGCCTCAGAGCGATCACAATGGCCTAAGTCGAGCTCTGTAAGTCTTATCATTGCAAGGAAACTGTGCTACACACCTAAGTCGAGCTCTGTAAGTCTTAAGGACTGCAGAGTCGACTCAGGCGCAGATGACGGCGCACAGAGCGCGTGGGAACTAGCTAACACGACCATACACTAAGTGGCGCTGGAATGGCGCCAAACAGACCAGAAGTGCGTAAGGTAGACACTATTCTAGAGTGCAATCAGATCTACAGTAATGGAGACTACTAGTGAAAGAAATGCGGTATCTCTATGTGAACGAGAGTTGTGACTATACGAAAATTACCGTAGATAGCGGACAGCGCGAACTATGTATGGCGCGATGCGGGACTTTGTGCGATTAAAACCGCAGGCGCTACAGCACCGACTCCAACAGAGAGCGATGATGACTATGCAGTCGTTGGCCCTGTAGGTATGGTCCCATGGACGACCATTTCGGGCGGTAAGACAGGTACGTCGCATGAGACTGACTACGAAGTCTATTGTAACGCTGACTCTATGACCTGGAGTAGCGGAAGACGACAAGCGGATGAAGATATTGCCGGAGAACACATCAGACAGCGAGTTGGAGTACCTGGGCGATCCTGCCGCACTTTCCACTCCCGTAGCCTCCTCGCCCCTGGCCCAGGCGATTGCCCGGGAAGCAAGCCTTGATCTTCATCTGGAGACGGGAGGAGCTGGAGCGCCCCAACCTTCTCGCCAGTCCGCAGGCATGCCAGACTCCGATCGGGCGACACCTCTTCCACCGTCCATCAAATCCGGGATCAACGAGGATCTTTCCACGACGGCAGGCCTTCTGCAAGCGGCTGCCATAGTTTGGTCGCTTGGGAGGCGGTGTTGGACGGCCGAGTAAGAGCGCCAAGCATCGTCGGCTGAGTCGTCCAATGCTGTGGCAGACGATGGTGCGAAGACAGGAGGCCACGTGGGAGAGGAGGGAGATGAGGTGTCGCCTATGGTAATGGCTGCCTCACTGGAGGTCTTGGAGGCCCTCAAACTCATCGTGAAGAACTCACCACTGGAATGCTTCCTGCGCGGAGTAGGAGAATTGACCACGAACGTCGGGCCCGACCTACCGAACTTGACCACATCCCCTCCAGCCGAAGAGGGAGAAGCTTTGACCACAGGCATTGGGACCAACTTACCGGACTCTGTTACATCCCATCCGGCTGCACTTGGGGAAGCTTTCCGCAGGCAGTGTCTGGCGGGAGTGTATCGCTTGATCATGGATGCTGCACGGTTCAACGCCAAAGCGAATGAGGGGGCTATGGACGACATGAGAGCTCTGAACACCACCTTGATGCAAGCGACCAACTAGGCGACCGACAATTGCATACAGGCGGCGTTCCGTGGCAAGTTTGAGGCTCTGAGCACGCACCTTGAGATGTTCGCGGATGAGGGACGTCTGGTACAGTTGTGGAGCGAGCAGCAAAGATGGTGAATACATCTATGTAGAAGTAGTGACTGGAAATAAGATTTGTGTGTCGTAATATTGTAACGTGTGCATTTCGGGCGGAAAATAGTCATGACCAAAGGTGGTGACAGTGACTTCCTGGCCGACCGGCTGGGCAACATATTAATGATCTTGCAAAGTAGTGACCGGATTAAAACAGCACAAATGCAGTTGGACATAGCTGGTACACAATTGAATGTTATTATGGAGTAAAACAAAGTGGTGCTCGGCTGGGAGTAGATGGGTGAGTTTGCCACCTGGCCGGGGGCGGGCCCAGATATGGCCTGGTCAAACCATTCCATTGCTCTTCAGGTCAGACTGTGCGCACTTGGTGTGCTCCATTTTTTTCCCTCATATCTACATAATTTGTTACATTGCAGTTCGCAGCAACGTGGCAATGGGCCTCCGTAGAGCATGAGGAGTGGTCGCTGTGAGCATGAGCTTCACATGCTCAGTGCAGGCCAGATACCTTCAGAAGTCTCTGCATGCTGTCATATGCTTGCATATCATGTACATAATACAGCTACATGCAGTAGCTAATCGTATCACTCGTGCAAACCACTATGGGTAGTACTAGTAGTACATAATGTGCATAGGAGCCGGCCGGGTAGCAGTTGCCCAAATGGGGTAAACCCGGCCGAGGCTGCGGCTGTGCTAGTCTTGGGCATTTGTCACACCTGGGGGGTAAGCAACTCTATAAATACTTATGTAATGGGCTGGGGTTGTTGGTTGTAAGAGGCTCGTAAGAGCGATGAGAGGAGACGTTCGAGTGAAGTGAACTGTAGATTGGGGGTACAGGAGTCCCCTATATATACAATTGTATATCTGTGGCTACGTAGTACTATAGAGTACATTTCCAGGATGCATAGTCATGCAGAGAAGCTGTGTGTATACCACATGAGTAATACAGCCTCAGTTATTGCAGCAACCGGCTGTGCCGTTCTATATCTTGTGACGGCTGTGTTAGGCAATCTGTGTAAACCAGCGCCTGATCAACACTCCCCCTCGCTAAGTATCCGAATGGTTACGCAAGCGTAGCAGGCACTTTAAGCAGCTCTGGACTTTGAGAAGCAGAGACCAAGTTGTGAGCAAAATTTCAAGAACTTCACTACACCAAGGTTCTTGGTAAAGATGTCCAAGGATTGTCATTTCGGTCTATATGAAAGACATCAATGATTCCTTTATCATGTACCTTGCAGATATAGTGATATTGGATGTCAATGTGCTTTGACCTTGACTCCATCACAGGATTCAATGCAATAAAGATCCATCCTTGATTGTCTCCAGATAGAGGTATGTGATTGACATGATAGTCAAGTTCAGCAAGTAGATTGCGAACCCAGACCACTTGGTGACTGCAATTGCTCATTACCATGTACTCAGCTTTCATAGAAGAAAGAGTGTTGGTCTTCTGTGCTCGTGATTGCCACGTGAAGATCCTGTTTGCTAGTTTCAAGAAGAAACCGGTCAGTGACTGATGAGAGTTGGCATTGGAGGCCCAGTCTGAATCAGTACCAGCGACGAGGTCTGTCTGTGAAGCACCGTCATAGACTAGGGAGACTCGTACCACCACCTACGGCAGCTTTCCCACGATCGTCAGCCAATAGGAGCGGGCTACGTCGTGCGGTCAGTCATCCCTCTGGGCGACGGTCTATAGCGTACGAGAAACAGCAGCAATACACACGGACAGTAGGATGCCCCAGGACGCTACCAGGCGAGGACCGGCAGCATCGCCACAAACCGCCTTACAGACAAGGAAGACATCAACAACCGTAGCGACAGGCACACCGCCTACCAAGCAACTGCGGTCCACACCGGCTACAGCCACCTTTACGGCAGTGGTAGACAAGATTCAGACCATGGATGAAGCTCTCGCTGTCTTGCGAAAAAATCAGTTGGTACCGGCGGCTGGAGAACCCACGGCAGAGGGCCTCATCACGAGCCTTCATCATGTAGGGGTGGGACTCTCAGGGAAGATGGCATGGGCGTCGGAGTGTTGCATAGCATTAGCCGTCTATGCCAAGGCGGTCATAGAGAGCGCGGTAAGCAAATCATTGACGGAAGCTGTACTCACCCGCTTTGAGTCGTAGACAAAAGAACTCATCAGCACCCTGGAGGCGAGGGTGGCCGCCACTGGCAACCATATTGCTGAACTCACAAACAAGCTGGCAGGGGTTGCGGAATGTGCAAAGGAGAAGATTGAAGGGGCTGTAGAGAACATTCGGGAGGCAGGACGCACAGGCCTCCCCCTCGGTGAGTCATCACCTGGCTCTCTCCCTTTCTCCTATGCAGAGGCTGTAAGAGCGAGCCTCCCTGGTACCACACGAGCTGCGCAGTTGAGTGTTGTAGACCGGGAGAGCATCTGTGCGCGACAGATCCTTATCGATGGCTTCCCTGGGAACTGCGATGGCACACTCTCGGAGATGGAGATTCTAGAGCAGGCTAATGACGCGCTTGATTACCTCTCGAGAGAAGAACTTGACGTTCCGGAAGGCCTCCGCTTTACTGCAGCGAAGGCCCTCCGGAACGGGGGAGTAGTTCTGGAGCTCGCCACACCAGACCTGGCGAAGTGGATAGTGCAGCACGCACGCGATTATGAGTTTGTGTTGAGCCCAAGGGCAAAGATTCGCCCTCACCAGTACAAGTTGGTTGCGGAGTTTACACCGGTTGGGTTAGATCCAACTGATACCACACAATGGCGACAGACAGAACTGGATCTTGATCTTCAGGAAGGGGCAATTGTAGATGCTTGCTGGATTAAGCCAATTCACAAGCGGTACCAAGGCCAACGTTTTGCTCACCTATTGGTTACGCTCTCCTCTCCAGAAGCAGCCAACAAGGTTATCCGAGCAGGTCTGGTACTAGCGGGCCGCCATGTAAGTGTAAGGAAGAACCTAGCAGAACCATTGAGGTGCTCCAAATGCCAGCGCTACGGTGCAGGGCACCTGGCCAAGGAATGCCCTCAGGAACGGGATACATGTGGGACATGTGCACACTCACATCGAACAGCAGACTGTAAGATACAAGAGCCGCAGCAGTATCACTGTGTGAACTGCAATGAGAAGGGTCATGCCGCATGGGACCGGGAGTGCCCGGTATTCCTAGACCATCTAGGCAAGTTAGATGCTCGCTGCCCAGAGAATTGCCTCCAATTATTCCCTACAGGCGACCCAGATTCATGGGTCCCTAAGATGCACGATAGAGCTGCCTCCGCTACAAGAGTTCAGCTGAGGGATGTTGTAGAGGAAGGTATTGCGAAAGGACCAAGGGCGCCCTCGCAACGTGCTAGGGCGCAGAAAGAGCGTGCACGCATGGTGCAGACGCAGCTCCCGTTTGGTTCACAAAGGTCCCGGGTTGATGACACACACACACTTGACACAAAACATGATAGCGCACAGACAGACGGTACTGCTAATATCTCTGTTTCTTTTTCAGGACGTGAAGAAAGACAAGCACTGAGCCACAGTGCTCCAAACTGCTGCGCTGAGCCTTTCCCATTCATGACTTCTCAAGTATGGACTGCTGCACTGACATCACTGATACTTTCCCAGGTTATGCTCACTGGCACATGTGTGCAGTACGATACAACGTCCCTATATACATTTGCTAGCTATGCATGTATCCAAGACTTCAGATCCCTTGTACCTATGCGTTGTGGGCGTCCGCCCGCTCTAGGGGCGGGGGAGTTCTGACGAACGGCGGGGATACCGCCGGGCGTACTCCTGACTGCAGCAAGAGGCGAGTCCCAGGGACGCAATTGTACCCATCGGGCAGCAGGTTTGCAACCCGCACCCTAGCCTTCACTGGCCAAGGGTGGACGGGCGGCCGCAACGCATAGATACTGAGTCCTGCCACTCACTGATCCTTCACTAGCATACCTCTGCACTCCACCCCTTCCGGTCTCCGCCCAGCCCTTCCCCTTGCACCATTTGTCACCGCTACTTCCCCATTACATCCTCCTAGTTTGCTCGAGCCTCGTGCTCACATTGTTCCACCAAATACCCACTCTTCTTTGTGTAGACAGTCTTTGTGTTTTAAAGCCTACCATGAGGCGCGGCCTGGCAGGGCAATAAATGGGATCTAGAAAGAGAAAGAAAGAAAGAAAGACTAGGGAGTAATCGTTTGTCCCGACTAGATATTGGCAGATGTAGAGTGCACGATTAAGGTGTTCTTCAGATGGGTTATGTTAGAATGAGAGAAAACAAGCATAGATGAGGGCCCAGCGGCACCTCAGAACTCAGACACAGACAGGAGAATTGGGCTTAAACCGAAGGCTTCGTAGTGACGGACTAGGGATTGTACAGTGACGTGGCTACGGCATCGTACTGCTAACATTTGTCCATGTTTGTCCATCCAATGCAATTAAGCGCTGACACTAACAGGTTGGACACAAACTGGTCATGGCGAATGCCAGATCCGGTCTGGTACCGAGCATCAGGTAGAGCAAGGATTTAATTGCTGGAGTCGGTGCTGTAGCGCCGTCAATTTGAATCGCACCAAGTCCTGCTTTGTGCCATACATGGTTTGCGCTGTCCACTACGTATGGTAATTTTCGTATAGTCACAACTCTCGTTTACATAGAGATATTGCATTTCCTTCACTAGTAGTCTCCATTACTGCAGATCTGACTGCGCTCTAAAATAGTGTCTACCTTACACATTTCTGGTCTGTTTGGCCCCATTCCTGCACCACTCAGTGTATGGTCATGTTAGCTAGTTCCCACGTGCTCTGTGCGCCATCATCTGCACCTGAGTCGACTCTGTGGTCCTTGAAACTTACAGAGCTCGGCTTAGGTGTGTAGCACAGTTTCCTTGCAATGATAAGACTTACAGAGCTCGACTTAGGCCATTGTGACCCCTCTGAGGCCCACTGCAGCCAACAGACCGGAGATATGCCAGTCCTCGAGTGCAGCTAGGACAATAATAAGACGAACTGTTTCAAAACACACAACTGGGGAGAAGATCTTGTCGAAGTCTTCGCCTTCAACTTGGGAAAAGCCCTTTGCAACAAGTCTAGCTTTCTTTTGACCGTCAGTTTTGGATTCAAATATCCAGCAATTTGTCATGACCTTATGATCTTTCGGTCAGTTGACCAGATCATAGACGTTGCATGCACGAAGAGCCTCTAGTTCTTGATTGCATGCGGTAATCCACTTTTTTGGCTCAGTCATAGGTAGACTGGTGATGTCACGGAAAGTCCATTCACACACATTACGTGGCAGAACTTTCTCCCCCTCAATTGGTGGTATTGCTTTTGCGATTAGTTTTTGGATGAGGGATGCTCCCCCTTCCTAGCATAAATCTGCCATCTCAATCTGAGTTGAGCCACAAAGCGCATTAGTGACTTCATCTGACTGATTTTCCTCCTTGTCATCATCATCATCAGATTCTTCTGAGTCATCATCCTCATCAGATTCTTCATCTGGAGGTTGCGCTAAACTATTATCATTGGGAGTGCCTGAGCGAGGTTCTAGAGATCCCTCTGCAGGTTGAGGGGATTTCTCAGCCTCAGTGTCACTGCTACCAGATGAGATAATAGGGGTTTGTTCCCTAGTCATGGTCCATTTTAAGGATGGAGGTAAAACAATTTCATTGTGCGAACACGGTTGCAATCGTGGACTATATTTGAGCTAGATCCGGGAACCTGTGACTCATTCCGTGGACTTGGAACTAATGCAGGGCAAGAGTGACCACCTACTACTACTGTACCACCTCGCAGAATCCCTCCACCTACTCGCCCGCCTTCGCCCACTGGTTCACCTCATGGCGGACCTCCTCAGGGTGGCGGACCCCCTCAAGGCGGTGGACCTCTGCAAGTTGGAGGACCTCCTCTGGGAGGTGGACCCCCTCAAGGACCTGGCGGACCACCACCCGTGGCACCTCTTGGCGCACCAGGCATCGCTGCCGGACGAACCAGAGTCCGTGCACCCAATGTTTTTGACAGAGATCGTGACAATCTATGCACTTTCCTCAACAAACTCTTCCTGTTCTTTGAAGCACGACCAGCCGACTATGTCACAGACCAGAGCCGCATTGTCACTGCCCTAACGTTCATGGACGGACCAAAGGTGATCACCTGGAAGGTCAGTTATATCGCTCAGGCCCGATGAAACGGTTGGAACACCTGGACTGCATTCAGAACCGTCTTACAGCAGACCTTCCAGCCCATTGAGGAAGCCGCTACAGCAGCATCCAAGTTGTACCACCTCGGATACCGACCTGCTGCGCTGGACACCTTCAATGCGCAATTCTTCCACCTCTGCCCCCTAGTCGGTATACTCGAAGACACTGCCCAGCTATCCTTCTACAAGGAGCATCTCCCAGAAAGCATGCGACAATGTGTTCACCTCACCTACCCCGTCCCCACCACCATTAACAAGTGGGCAGCATGGTGTCGTACTTCTCGAGGTCTGGGTGTGAGAAGAGTTTATATAACAAATCTCTATATGTATGGGTGAGGGGTGAATCTCAGCTTTCTATAAACCTAAGAAGCTCTGCCACAAGGTGTATGAGGTTTCCTGTTTTTCCAAAATTGACCTCGTCGAGTTCGGGTTGGTTGCGGTTGTATTCGACAATTCTGACAAAAGTCTGTGCAATGCTGTCTAGCTTTGTGGTGCTGTGTGTGTTTACTCTGACTATGTAGACCCTTTACCAGCTCCACAGAATCCTTTCACAACTTTTTCTGGGTGTACTGATTGTTTCAGCAGAGTTTCCCCTATATCTGGCTTTTCTATACAGTCTGTGCTTGTTCCGTGAGTCTATCTGAGACTCTTCCTGTCTTACCTATGCTGACTAGCCCTCTGACTATCAGCTGATCTGAGTGTTACCAATTGCTAAACCCCAGGAATCCAATCCTGCTAAGGTCCAACTGACTAACACTAACACTATACTTACTTCAACTGCTGAGTCAATATGTCTCTCCCCTCTTAGGAAAGGCTATACAACTCTCAACTGATATGAAACTAGACTTTCCAGCCTCACTATCGATTGCTTATGCAGTTACTGAACACTTGCTTTAAGCACACTTGCTTTGAACTGGTGAATTCTTGACTGATTTTTTTATTTGGGGGCACTTTCAGTCCGGTATATATACCTTTCTGAAGACCTTCCAGAATGTTCTATCTAGCTTACAAATTGTTACGACTGACTGTCGAGCGAGTAAGTGGAGACGAGCGAGGCAGGCAGGAGCGCCGACGAGCTCTGATCGCAGTGAGACTGGAGCGGAGCTCAACAGGCAGGACTGGAGACAAGATGTGTATTGAGCGAAGTATCTACAGAGCGAAATACACGATGGCTTACCTGGAGACAAGAGGTCGAAACTAGAGTCTCCAGGTAGCAAGGGATCCAGCTATATACGAGGAACGAACAATGGGCGCTAAGGGGACAATGGCGTTGCCATGGGCACCGAGTACAAGGCCGTAGGACAATAGCGAAGAGAGAAACAAGGGGAGCTGTTGTCCGTGTGCAAACAAGGGGAAACCACGCCGACTAGAGAACAAGGGGTGAACGTACAAGGCAGTGGTCCGAATCGAAA